TTTTAATTTTGACCTGGGGGAGGTCAGGCATGATACTGTTGCTGTATCGCCCCGCTGAACTGAGTTGTGTTCTTAAATGGTGTATTGAGCCGGGCGATGTTGTTCTGTGCACTCACTTAAGGTGAGAGATGGTCTTTAAGTAGATTGAGGATTCTGTATCCTAAGGGAACGCTCTTTTCTCCTATAAGCAAGGCCGTAAAGGTATGCTTGCGTGTAAGCGCAATATTGATGTTTTGTTTTTACAGTAGAGTTTTTGGTGGCCTGGTGGTTTTTCTTCTGTTGCTGATTTTTTATTTTTTAACAATAAACTTTTTATTTTATTTATTTATTAATTGCAGTATTTATTATTGCAGCACCAAGCTTGTTTATCTTAACGCCGGTTTTATATCTCTCGACCAGTAAAATATCGCAATAACACCGGATAATTTCTTTTGCTAAAGATCTTTATCCGTAAATGTCGAATAACAACAACAATTTCTGTGGTTTAATTTTAAAAGAATATAAATCTTTGTTAATTCAATTGATCATTTTAAAGTGTAAAAAAATAATTTTTGCACACTTTAAAACACTTTATACCCCCCTGGGAGGGAGTATAATATGATTGATCCAACGCACAACATCTTTTTTTATCGAAAGCATAACATTGGCGCTTCTAGAAGACACCATCGAGGAGGAGGCTTTGGCTGTTTCTGTAGTTGTATCAGTCATGGTTAACGCCCAACCATACCGTTAAACTCTTCGTTCTTCATAAATTTTAAGGTTAAAATTTGGTTTGGTCTCGTCGACTTGTACAATGGCGTTCGAGGCTGCTAACCTTATCGGATGATTATCAAAATACAACTTTATTTTTTCATCACATATTTTTTCGGTGATGCATTTATTTAAACACACAAACGCCTACAAAACCCATTTTATCAGATTATTTTAACTTCTTTAGTCGATAAAATATGACTCTTAAATGTTTAACGAGGGATACCTTTCAATTATTTAAAAGGACCGGAGAAAATTAAACGCCTACATTTGTAAAATTCACATTCTTTATAATAACATCGCCAAACATACCCCAAGAATCCTTTATAATCAGATTTAAAATACATTTCCGTCCCACAATGTAAGCAATATGATTTGTCATAAATAAAATTTGCTGTTTATTAATTATGTAAGAACCTTTTCCTGTGATTTTTGTTTTATGTTTTCAAACCGTTCTGACAACTGCATTGAGGGGTTCTTAAATATTTAAAATTTATTAGCACATAGGCACTTGGCTGGTACAATGACCTCCAAGTATATAAGATTCAAAAACTTATTTTCCTTAATCTAAATATCTGCACATTATTGGCGCTAGCATGCCACAAGGGCCTTGTTCGTAGGGAGATTTGATTTACCACCATAAGGATACTTACTGGGCCGACAACTGATAGATTATGCTTTACAAGACCAGCAACTTACTGAACTTGTGGTTGGATTCTGTGATGTATGTCAAATAACCATGATAGATTCTCGCCATCCCTCGCGAAATATGTTAGAGCTTCACTGGCCCAATTCACCCTTCCAAAGCAGGTCTTTCGATTCAATTTCTTATTGGAGGTTTCAGTACGCAACTTAAAACGCCTCTAACAGCCATGGAAATTGTTAAAAAGATTTTTTTTATTTTCTCCGCCAAAAATCGAGTGTTTTCCGTTGCCCCCCTCCCAAAAAAAAAAAATATAAAGTATTTTTCTAAATTTTTACCCCTTAAAATGAGTTTACAAGGACTAAAAAAATAATTATAAAGATGTCCCAAGATGAATTAATTGTTTTCTTGCAATATAATAATTTTCTTGTACCTGGCATGATGTGTGCAAGGTGCGGAAAACGCATGTTTTTTAAAAAATATAATAAGGTGAAAGATAAAATGGTATGGTCATGTACATTCGCTTCCTGTACCAATTATAGGAGATTTATCTCCTCCATGACGCGCAACCAGCCCATGACAATTATTAAATAACTTTTAAATTTATTCTTTTGTTTACAAATGTTTAATCAAGAAAAATTAGCTTTTAACTTCTTTTTCATCTCTTCTAATATGACTTCTATAATCTATTCTTTAATATATTCTCCGTTAGTTTGTTTATTTTAATTTACCCAAAACTATAAATAAAATTTTATCCTAAACCCATATACGTGGACTACGAGAAGAAACCTAAATACAGAGACTATACAAATAAAACCTTTCATCCAAGCAACTCTTTAAAACCCAACATGTAGAATTCCGTGTCAAGCGTAACGAAGGATAGCAAACTGTTATACCTTACGGATTCCGAAAAAGCACAGTTAATTAAGAGAACCCATGAGCCTACAACTTTCAGTCAAAGGATAGAGGACGATATGGCTGCTGCAGAGTATTTGAATATTATCATTTACAAATTTACAGACTCACACGTTCAAGACTTTGTGGAACAGACAAAGAAGGTCGGATGCCCCGCCACAAATAATAGTTGGTCAGAACCAAACTCACAAAAGATCCTCGATATCATCATCCATGAGAAATATCACAAACTCATGTCACAAAGGACGAGGTTTGACACGAATCTAGATTTTTGGCGGAATAAATCTTCTCAGCAACGACTACCATTATTTTACTGACCTAATAAATAAAGCTTCAAGGAAAAAATTTCTTAACGTCAAAAGATGGGATGCCTAAGCGAGAATTGATCTCGGTTCTTATAAAAAACTATCTAAAGAAGAAAATCTCTCCCTTATGAACAATAAAGCTACTAATCTGGCGAATGTGTATAAAATTTTAAAGAAGTATAGCAGCCCCGCATCATTCTACTTAATCCGGGGGATCGGGCTATTATTTCCCTTGGAAGTTGATACTGCGGTTATTCACCCCAGAAAAAAATAATAGAGAAATTTAATTATTTCAGTCAAACATTCTAATATTTTATTCAACTTGTTATCTCTAAATCTTTCACGTCACATATATTCAGCAAGATATGAATTTAAGTCTTCCTTTTTAACGTCTTTTAATTTTTTTAATATAAATTTTGTTCTTATTCCAATACGATTCAATATGTTGCGTATGAACACCATTATCAGGATTAACAAAATTTAAGGAATGGTTTACTGTATAATGTTTAAAACTCAAGCCTGTAATATCTTTATATTCAGCCCATTGATCTGAATGAATAATCGTACCAGGCAAACATATTCTTCGAACAATATCAAAGAGGGTGGCTTTATCTTTTTGGGCTACAATCTCTATGTATCTTCTTGTTGATACATAACTTGTATCAACTATCCCAAAAACCCAGACTTGATGTTCGGACATTCTTCTCATATGATATTTTTGCTTGTGAAAACACAAGCCTTCATCAATTTGGCATATAATGCCGGGACCACCAAGGAAAAAGTATTTCTAATAAAGAACTCTACACATGCATTTCTAAAACTTCTACGCATGTCAGTTATCTTATCGTGTTCTAGTCCCGTTAAAACGCCAATATTTTTCTGCGAAGTATTTATGCTCCAAAGGTAAATGGCGTATATTCCCATTTGTAAATCAATTTATGTTTTTTTTCAAAAAACAATTTGTTACTGATTAAAAATGTAGTTTTAAACTTAAGACATTGTTTGTTTCCGCACTTCCAAATAAATTTGTTGTTGATCTTACTACAAGCTCGCCAATCCATACCTCTAGAGCAATATACACAACACATGCTTCTTTTAATTAATCCAGTGGTTTTGACAAAGTTAATAGGTCAATTTATATCAGTACCAATAATTGACAAAATTGTCTCCTTAAAAAAATTTCTTCTCATATAAGGGTAAAAAAATAAAAAAAAGTATACTGCGGTTATTTCCCCCTGGGGGAAATAACCGCACTGATCCCAAGATTCTATAGGGTTGAGTGGGTAGGGCGTAATCTGTCAAATAGATGTATTTTATCTCGCCACAAACAGAAAAATCATATCGGTAGGGTTTCTGATACACAAATATGGGTCTTTGGGATAGTAGATGCAAGTTTTTGTGCAGCAAAGGGATATATAAAAACGGAGCTGGGACCCTATAACTGACGCATTTGAGGGTCTTTAATTTTTTTTTAACCCCTATTTTTTTAATGCAAAATAAAAGAAGAGAAAAAAATGTTAATGAAATTAATGCAATTTTTGAAGAGGAAATTGGTATAAAATTAGAAGAGATGTTTTGCAATGCTTGTTTAGGAAGAGTAAAACAAGTTTTAGGTGACAAGAATATTATCAGATGCACCAGAAGAAAATGCAGAAAAAGTGGAGTTTTTTTGACTAAAAAACCATATTATAATACTAAATTACATTGGGAGGATGTTAATAAGATCTTGTTTTTTTTTAAATAATATTTCTATAAAAAATATTTCATTAATGACATCTGTTTCAAAAAAAGCTGTCAGAAAATTAATAAGAAGTGTAGGTAATCAAATAAATTTAGATTATAGAATAGGAGGAAAAAATATTATTGTTGAAATTGA